AGAGTTAGAAACATCGATGAGAGAGAGTCATCGATCAGCTGCCTCTTGCACACCCCCTACCGGGGATATGCCCGCAACCAAGGTACATGCCCTTGACCGGAATCGAACCCGGGACCTTTCAGTCCCCAAGCCGACGCTCTATCCATTGAGCCAAACCGGTCCCGGCTGGATGACAGGTATTTTTATCCTCACTTAATAACGAGCACATTAAGGCCTTGGCTTATTTGTCAGTTCCTTTCAGGTTGGCCTTCCCTGACCCTTAGGAGGTGGTCAGGATGATGTCTCCTTCCCACATCATTATGGCCTTTACCCCATTTATCACACCATGTTGTTTTTGCTCGTTTACCAGGCTGGGTCTTTCACAAGACTTGAGGACAAATACTTGGTGTCTGCCTACTGCACAGGAGGTGCTCAGGTAACATGTTGAATAAATGAAGGTTGCGTGTCTGAAGTCTCGGAGCTAATACATGAGACTCTAAAGCCTAGGTTTCTTTGAGCCATTACAAGTGGAAAGTACACACTAGGGGGATTCCTGAAAGGGTCCATCTATAGGTTGGAGTAATCAAGGAAGGCTCCCTTACAAGGGGGCATTTGTAAGATCAGTTCAAATTTGAAAAGACAGATGGAAGGTGCACAGTCAATCCAGACAGGCCAAAGCTCAAAGGTAGGATTTACCAAGTGCACACTTGCTCCAAGACTAGAACCACCTGCCCCCGGGGATTTCAGAAAACTGCACTCCACCCCCTAAACCTCTCTAGCTTACTCACTGATTGTCATCTTATATCTAACTTTCATTCCAGTTACCTCTGTTAAATTGTTTTCCTCCAAGTTTTACAGGAAAATGGCAAATGCTTTACTGTTTTCCCATGCCTAGACAAGGATGACATAATATATGCTATTAGTGTATTTCTCCATTGGAAAGTCCCCTTTAATAATGAATGGGATAGGTTTCATGAAGAAATAAGATTCATAATGTCTATAATATACTGCAAAAGGGGGTGGGGTGGGAAGGATCAAGACAAAATAGTATCTTTGGGTTCAATTTTGTTAAAAAAAAAAAAAGATAGTTACGAATATGTTTGTGTGCATATGGGAAATGTCTAAAAGATTATATATACTGAATTTAACAGCTGCTGGTTCTGGGAAATGAGATGCAACGGAATATGGGGCTTTTACCTTTACTTGACCCGTTTTGAGCTTTTGTCTTTTTACACATTTGAGTATGAATTAACTTCACAATTGAAAACAATTGTAGCTGAAACAGGTTTGGCTCAGTGGATAGAGCGTCGGCCTGCGGATTGGAGGGTCCCGAGTTCGATTCCGGTCAAGGGCATGTACCTTGGTTTCAGGCACATCCCCAGTGGGGGGTGTGCAGGAGGCAGCTGATCGATGATTCTCTCTCATCGATGTCTCTAGCTCTCTGTCCCTCTCTCTTCCTCTCTGTAAAATATCAATAAGATATAAAAAAAATTGGTCTATATGGAGCAACAAAAATTTAAAAACAAAGAAACAAAGAAACAAACAAAAAAACAATTGTAGTGGGATTTTAGGTAGCCTTAACTTTATTTGTGTTTTGCTTCTCCCTAATTTTCTACTGTGAGCATCTATTACATTTATAATCAGAAAATTTGAAACCCTTTTCTCCATAAAGGTTGTTAAAAAGAAAAGAAATAGATTCTAAAGATGGCACAATTTGTGATGGCACTAGACAGAATGTTTGGGGAAAGTATGTTTTAAACTCTGCGTCCCAGGCAAGCTGTGCATAAATCAATTTAGTTCCAATTTGGCAAAATATGTTAAGAGCTGTATGAATGTTCCAGATCTTGTAACTTTGTAATCCCAACCTGGGGCTTTAGCTCAAGGAAATGCTTAAAAAAAATCCTCTGCGTATAAAAAGCTCACTGTGGCCTAGCATTAATGGGGTAAGCTAGGATCTGCCCTAAAAAGTCCAAGAACAAACATTAAGTAGCCATTTCTAACAGCCAAGATGGCAGCTTTTCAGAAACATGGGACTGTGTTCTTTTTTCCTCAGTTTTGCTATGCAAAACAAAATAGAATGAAATATTGCATTTGCATGGAGATTATGGCTATTATATATCTTTATATATAATATGTATATTATATATAAAGATATATGTTATATAATTAGAGTCAATGAGAAAGAAAGCAAGGATGATAGAGGAGAGAAAAGAATGAAAGAAGGAGGAAGAGAACAGGCAAAATAAAGTAATGGTGCTAGGGTAATGGGATTATGGAAAATGTTTGGAAATGTCCTTAAATGATGTCGAAAGTTGTTTTGGTAGTAAATATGAACTATACACAGGAGCTCTGTGATTTGGGGCAAGTTATTTAGCTTCTCCGAACCTCAGTTTCCTCCTTGGCAAAATGGAGACAACAATAGTACCTACTTCATAGAGTTGTTTTGAAGATTAAATGAGATAATGCATATAAAACACTCAGCATTGTGCCCAATGCATACTAAACACTCGATAAATGTTAGCTATTAGTGTCATTGCTATTCCATCATTATTATAAACTAGAGGCCCAGTGCACAAAATTCATGCAGGAGGGTGGGCAGGGAGTCCCTCAGCCTAGCCTGCACATTTGCAATCTGGGATCCCTCTGGAGATGTCTAACTGCCAATCTGGGAACGTTGGCTCCTAACTGCTTGCCTGCCTGCCTGATCTCCCCTAACCCCTCTGCTTCGACCCTCGCCACTTCGTCTGGAATGATGTCTGGAAGGTTGTTCGGCTATCTGGTCTAATTAGTATATTACGCTTTTATTATTATAGATAAGGGGAAAGTGTCATATGTTATAGGTGGGAACATAATCTGTTAATACCTTCAGGAAGGCAGTAGAGTAATACATATAAACATTTAAGATACAAAACCCCTCTGTTCTCAGATCTTCATATCTAGGAATTCATTCTTAGCAAATAATCTTAGTAAATAATCTGACATGTACAAAAGGGGTGTGAATGAGAATGTTTATCTCAGATTTATGATAGAAAAAGATTGGAAACAACCTACAGATTCAGCAATAGCTATATAAGTTATAAAACATACATACAATAAAGTATTCTGGAGCTATTAAGAAAGATATGATATATATATAAAAAAAAATCCAGGCCAGTGTGGCTCAGTGGTTGAGCACTGATCTATGAACCAGGAGGTCACAGTTTGATTCCCAATCAGCATGTATGCCCAGGTTATGGGATTGATCCCCAGTGAGGGATGTGCAGGAGACAGTTAATCAATGATGTTTCTCTCTCATTATTGATGTTTTTATCTCTCCCTCTCCCTTCCTCTCTGAAATCAACAAAAATATAATTTAAAAAAACCACATAAACACACATAAATCACCACACACACACACACACACACACACACACACTCATCATAATTATCATCATGGATTTTCTGATGCTATATTATATAAATTAACATTTCATAATTCGGAGCAATAGACAGTCCTATGTTTTTTGTTTTAAAAAATAATAATCCTGGTTGGGGGTAAGAAATTCCAAGATTGGAGACTGAAGACTGGCAAAATGTGGCAAAACTGGTTTCATCAGTTTAGAAATCACTGATTCCCAGGTCTGAGGGTTAGCAACTGTGGCGAATTCTATAGAAATGATGGGTATTCATGGAGAGCTGACTCTGGAAAGAGAGACAGACTTGAAAAATGTTCCTAATTAATAATAAGAAGGAGAGGCTTCATAGAGTGCTTCAGGATTTGCACTGTCAGTCTGTTGGGTCCAGAGGTCAGTCCCATGAGAGAGTTAGAGGCAGGGCGGGAGTTACACTGGGATGATGGAGTCCCCACGTGTGTGTGAACTGGTGCTAGAGACAGAACAGGAACCAGAACTCAGGGATCTAAACTCCTAGCCCTCACAGTTGTGAAGCTTGAACAATGCAAAGTTCATTAAGCTCCTCGTCCATGACTGTCACACAGTGGGTCTTCACACACCCTTGCACCTCCAGGTTGGCTCCCTGGGTCCATGGGCTGCTGCTTTACCCTGCTGTGTTCTCTGCGCCCTTCTTGTATCTATTCTTTCTTTTTATCCCCATGTTTTTATTGATTTCAGGAAGAGAGATAGAAATATTGATGAGAAAGAAACATCGATTGGCTGCCTCCTGTATGCCCCCTACTGGTTGCCCTAATGGGGAACCAGTGACCTCCTGGTAGATGGGACAGTGCTCAACCAACTGAGCCACACTGGCTGGGCTTGTATCAATTCTTTTTCAAGTACTCTTTGCTACAGCCAAATTCATTGTTTCCTTTCAACCTGGCCCTTCCTCACACTGTTCCATTATCCTGCTATGTTGTTTTCCTATATTCTTAGCTTCCTCCAATCTTACTGCTTGTCCTAACATCCATATCCTATTGTTGTGCCCTAGCCAGTGTGGCTCAGTGGATGGAGCGTCATCCTGTAGACTGAAAGATCCCAGGTTCTTTTCAGGTCAAGGGCACATGCCCAGGTTGCAGGCTTGATTCCCAGTAAGGGGCAGGAGGGGACAGCCAATCAATGGTTCACTCTCATCATTGATGTTTCTATCTCCTCTGCCTCTCCCTTCCTCTCTGGGGAAAAAAAAAATCCTATTGTTCCTTTAAGGCCTATATCAAATGCCTTCTACACAGAGATGCACCAGGCACCTGGGAAGAGTGTATATCTGTGTTTTAGCACTGCTGGTCCATGCAGGAGGTGCACCGTGCACTTTGGTCGGTGAATGGGAAGGTGAAAGAGTAAATGAGAGATGATGAACATGGATGGAGGGCAGGGTCTGGGTGAATGCAGGGAGGGATGGGCAGAATGGATGACACCCCAGGCCCTGTGGCAGTGCTGGACCGGGTTCTGCTGGGACTAGCAATGGCACTACAATAGCAATGGGACTGCAGCCAGCACTTCTCTGGGTGAATAACCTCAGGGCTCTGCTCCTCCAGGCCTTGCCCAAATCATAAAACATCAAACACTTCCTCTTCAGGGGCAGGAGGAAGAAGTGGGGTGACTCAGGGGCTGAGCCTCAGCATCTGGGAGGGTTTATAAGCTGGGCCACCAGACCCTTCAGCACCACGAACCTTATTCCTCACCCCTTGCTCCCTGGCCTCCAGGTCTCCCGGCAGCATGGCCTTCAACGGCAAGTACGAGATCGAGAGTGAGAAGAACTATGACGAGTTCATGAAGCGCCTCGGTGAGTGGGGTCCTAAGAACATCTTCCTGGGCTGGTCTGTAACAGCTAGCATTGCTCCAGGAACCCAAATTCCTGGGATAGAATGGGACAGAACTTCATTTACTCATTCAATTACTCCTTCATTTATTGAGCCTTTGTTCCACGTTCTCAGGCTAATAAGAACCAAATAGACTCTTTGGCTTTAAAACCCTTAGGGAATATTAGTATCTCCAATTTACGGATAGAAAACTTGAGGCCCAGAGAAGTGGAGTCACTAGTCCAAGGTTATACAGCTAGAAACGGGTGAAGGAGAGACTTGATTGGTTTATTCATTCCAACATTTATTGAGCACCTACTGTGTTGGCAAAGGCCAACTCACTGTTCCTGAAGGGCCACCACTGCTCTTGCCCAAGATCACGGTAAGTCTCTGGCAGAGGATATTAGCACCCAGGACGTTATGATGAGATGATGAGTGATGTCCCCACATCATGTCTTGTAAAAGGTGACCAAGGAGTTACTTAGACTCAGTTTGATAAGCTCCTTCTTCATTCAGTCATTCAACAAACAAAGGCCTCTTGCTGTGTTAGGCTCTGTGGGCAGAGAGATCAAGGACCCCACGCCTCTTATTTGCTCAATTTGCAGCACAGGTTGTGAGGAACCAATGAGACAGTGGGATTGACAATCCTGCAGAAATCCTGGTGCTCTAAGACTGAGGCAGTGCAGTTGTCAGGGACCAGTGCCTTCATCCTGGTGACAAGAGAGGCCCCCAGAGCAGTGCTCATGTGCCCTGGGGCCTTGGGGAGACCAAAGCCCTTCTGCGTCAATTGCTGGGAGTGGCCCTGAGGCCCAGTGACTTGGCCTCCCCTGCAGCAGACTAGTGAGGAATGAGAAGGGAGCCAGTCCCAGTTCTAGACCTGGTGCTGCCGGGCACCTCGACTGAGATGCCGGAAGGCCCCTTTCCCGCTGTGAGTCCACATTTCCTAATCGGTGAAGATAGTCTTGAAGGTCCCCTTCATTCTAGAACTTTGTGAGCTTGGCAAGTTTCTGTGATAATTATGTTACTATGTCACTATCAGAAGAACTGCTATTATTTATTAAGTATAAACTACATGGCAGGAGTTTATGCGACATATTTTAATCCTTGCACCAGCCCTGGAAAATGGGCCTTATTATATCCATTTTGTGGATGGAAACACTGAGGTTTGGAGAGGTACTTGCCCAAGCTGCAATGGCTCATGGTAGAACTGAAATTTGTGCTTGCAACTGTCAGGGTAGCCTGCCCCCATGGAGGGGGGCTCTTTCCCAAAGCCCCATGTTGTAAGCAGCTCTGACATGGCCCTTCTGCTTGTCCCCCTGGGCCAGGGCTCCCCAGCGATGCGATTGAAAAGGGCCGTAATTTCAAGATCATCACGGAGGTCCAGCAGGATGGGCAGAACTTCACCTGGTCCCAGCACTACCCCGGGGGTCACTCCATGACCAACAAGTTCACCATTGGCAAGGAGTGCGACATGGAGACCATGGGAGGCAAGAAGTTCAAGGTGAGAGGCCACTGGCCACTCCTCCCTTTTTCCTCAGGCCTCCAGCTAACTTCTGGGTCTCAACTATGTCCCATGGGGCTGCTCCTCAACCTGAGGTGTCTTTCTCTAGTCTAGCCTCCAGACACTTGCTGAATACTTCACAATTATTAGCTGGGTTTATGGATGGGGAAGTTGGTCTGAGCCCTGGGGTTCAATAGCGTGCCCAATCACACAGCAGGGGCCGGCCTTCACACCCAGGCAGTCTGGCTCCAGAAAGCATAACTACATTTTATGCTGCCTTCGGGTAGCCTAGAATTGAAGTAGACCCTAGAATCAGCCTCACCTGGGCCTGAAACTGCACTCTTAGGTAGCAAAGAAGTGAAAGGCGGCTGGATGGCTGTTCCCATCCTGCCCAGACTAGTCCTTCAGGTCCCTCAGGTCTTCTACCCATTCTGGGTCCCCTTCGGAGCCCCCCTAACTATGCCCATGAGTACTTTGCTCTTCAAGCTGCCATGTGAACAAGAAGTAGTCATTATATTCATATCCTGCCACTCGGCTCTTTTAAAAATTTAACAATCTCTCATAATATTTTTCTGTGTTTGTGGTACATATCAATTTGTCTTATTCTTTTTAATAGCCGCACGGTATCCTATGGTATGGAAATGCTGTCATTTATTTGACACTCACTCATGACTAGATATTTAGGCTGTTTCCCAGTGGGTAGGCTAGATTGGATAGTTAGGTTGTTTACAGTCACAATCGGCAAGCAACACCCTTGGACAACATCACCCTCATCATGATGATCACAACACACAGTGCCTGACATGTTGTACCAGTAAACACTTGACATGTGCCACATTAAGCCACTTACTCCTCACAATAACTCTATGAAGTAGGTATAGTTACTAGCTCATTTTAGTGATGTACCACTGAGGCACAGCAAGGCTGAGTGAGTTGTGCAGGTGATCTGCACCTTTGGTTTATGTAAGGCACACGAATTCCCAGAGAGGACTGCCGGGGCTGCAGAGAGGACCTTCAGCCCTGAGGGTCTGGCCTGCATTTGCAGGGCTCCGCCCACTCACACTCAGTGCTATGCTTCCTTTCCAGGCGACTGTGCAGATGGAGGGCGGGAAGGTGGTGGTGGACTTCCCCAACTATCACCAGACCTCGGAGATCGTGGGCGGCAAGCTGGTGGAGGTGAGTGTCCTGCCATGTGAACAAGAAGTAGTCCTGCTGGATCCCGGGAGGTCTGGAGTGTTTTTCTGCCCCCCCCACCAGGGCCCCTGAGAGGCCAGCCTCCAGAGCGCCTGGCTTTATAAGAACTTCCTGTGTGCCAGGCCTTGTGCTCTCATTTGATCTTCACAATAACCCTGGAAGGTAGGGATTCTTATCCCCATTTTACAGGTGAGGAGACTGAGGCCTGGGGAGGCTAAGTGATTAGCTGGAGGGCACATAGCTTTTATGATGAAGCTGGGATTTGTGACTCTGGTGCCCAAGTCTGGAAGCCTGTGGGACCTTCCTCCAGGGTCAGTGAGGGGAAGTCCTGGAGAACCCTGCCAGGACCAACATGCTGCTCCGGCTAGATCTTCTGATTTTTCTAGAGAGGCTGGAAATGTGCACTTCTTTGTGAAATATCCAGATTCAATGTTGACAACTAATGAAATTTTAAAAAATATATATTTTATTGATTTTTTACAGAGAGGAAGAGAGGGATAGAAAGTTAGAAACACTGATGAGAGAGAATCATCGATCAGCTGCCTCTTGCACGCCCCCTACTGGGGATGTGCCTGCAACCAAGGTACATGTCCTTGACCGGAATCAAACCTGGGACCTTTCAGTCCGCTGAGTCCCTTCTATCCACTGAGCCAAACCAGTTTCAGCTGTTTTTTAAAATCCTGGCAGGGCCAACACCTGTGGACTGACCCCTCCCATACTCGGTGCTCTGTAAACACAGGTTGAAATGCTGTCCTGGGATGCCCTTCATCTCACTTCCATTTCTAGCACCCACTCCCCCAAACCCGGGGCTCCACCATGTTCCCCAAGGGAGAGAAATGGAGGTGAAGTTAAGAGGAAAGCTTGCTGCTTTCCTGTGAAGAACAACCGCCGACATGCACATCTTAGGACAGCATGTCTCCGTGGCCTTGAGCCCTGCACCGCACACAGGGGCTTCACTGAACAGTATCCTCTTGCCTGCCTCTTTCACAAAACCTTATGCTTCCCGAGGGCAGGGGCCACACCTGCCCATCACCGGGCATGGGTGCCCCACAAACCCCAAATGGTGCAGAGGTTGAGGGTGGCCTCTTGACCTTAGAGTAGGGGTGTCGAACTCAATCAGAGAAGGGGCCAAAATCTAAAATCCAGCCTAAATTGCGGGCCGAATGGTTTACTGAACAGTCATAAACTGTCATTGTGATGGAAACGCAGCAGAGTGCAGTGATGACAGCGCGGTGCGGGCCACATTGCAAGGCCTGGCGGGACGGATTTGGCCCTCGGGCCTTGTGTTTGACACATGTGCCTTAGAGGGATGACTCGACTTCTTTAAACTTCAGTTTTCCCATCGGTACAATGGGGGCCACCTTGCAGAGCTGCTGCGAGGTTTCAGTGGGGTAATGCAAGGGAAGTGACTGGCCTGGTGAACTGAAATGAACAAACAGGTGGAAAGTTACCTGCAAAGAGTCATCTGCTTAGCACCTTTGCTACATTGAGTCTGCGCAGTGATTCGTGTTAGCAACTTGAAAAACAGGCCCGGAGAAGCAGTGCAACTGAGTCATTTCTACTCCGGGTTGAGCCTGGGGGCTGGTCTTCTGTCAGCTGTGCCCCACCGTCACCCAGGGATCCCTGCATTGATGCCCTCTGTCCCGCTGTTTCTTTCAGATCTCCACCATCGGAGGCGTGACCTATGAGCGTGTGAGCAAGAGGCTGGCCTGAGCAAGCAGGCGGGGCTCCGAGGGGCTCCAGAGCCTCCAATAAAGCTGGTCCAAGGGTGGACATTCCGCTCACTCCAGATCCTCTGTGTCTTTGTTTTCTGGAGTCCTGGGGGTAGTTTCTGGCTGGGTGGGGGTGGGAAACCCTTGAGGATGGGTGCACAGGCCAGACCTTGGCCCCAAGATCCCTGTGGGATTTGTGTCATGCCAGAAGGAATCTTCTGTGTGTGGATACCTCTGAGCCTCTGCAAGAGGCCAAAGGAGCACCCTACTGTGGACCCCACACCCCACTCTGCCACCCATCGTGTGGGTGGAGATAATCCCCTAAGGAGACAAATGCCACCTGGGAGGGGTGACACACTGACTCTGCGATGGGCCACTGGACAAGCATATCAGAATTGGTGTGTGGGGAGAGGGAAGAAGGGAGGGAAGGAATGGCATTGCTGCTCTGCTACAGGCTGCACCGCACATCCCTGGCTTTGCTGCTAATTTCCTCTGGAGTCATTCCTTTGGGCCTCAGTTTACCTACTGGTACAAAGGGGGGCCAGGAGAACTGGTGAGAGACTGAGGAAAAATGACAGCCTGTGAGTTGCCAAGGGGCAATGAGAATGACAGGAAAGGACTGGAATGTCATGGTTTGGACTAGTAGCTGGGCAGCGGTGCCTGGGAGAAACTGAGAGGCAGTGGTGGATGGGGAAGGTGGTCAGAGGGTCACTCCGACCCCCTGGTGGGTGCCTGCAGCCCTGAGTCAGAGAGGGTTCCGAGGCAGCATCTGGACTGAGCAGATGTTCCTGCCTGGTGACGGCGTCTGCCAGGCCCTGGGAGTGGAAAAGAGGCCTGCTGGCCTCGAGCAAGACAACCCCTAACCCAGGGCACGGAAGGGCCCTGCATCCCCTCCCACCTTCCGGAAGTGTCGCCACAGCTGGGTACCGCCTTGATCTCTTTTTAACCCCGTATTTTTCTGCACGACAATTCACCCATTTTTACTACAGTGAAAACTGTATGTCACTTCTACACATGAAAAGCCACTGTCATCTGCTATAAAGAAAACTATTTAAAAACACTGAAACCGGGCGATGTTGGCGACCAGCTTGGTTCTCCTGCCTGCTCACAGCTCTGAGCCAAGACCTCCCTTTGTGAACAGGGTGAGAGAGATGTAAAGTTACAGTAGCGTCAAGCGGGAATTTCCCAATGAATAATATTGCAAGACCACTGAAGAGAGAATTACAGTCCCCCACCTTATTCCAAGTAGATGCCTGAGACTGTCAAGTACCGAACCTAGATGATGCCTGAGACTGTCAAGTACCGAACCTAGATGTTCTGCTTTATCCCTATACATAACATTTTATTTATGCCCTAAATAAATTAAAGTGGATAGAGCATCGGCCTGCAGACCGATTCTGGTCAAGGGAATGTTCCTCGGTCACAGGCTCCTCCCCATTTCTCTCACATCGATGTTTCTCTCTGTCTTTCCATCTCTCTTCCACTTTCTCTAAAAATCAATGGGAAAATATCCTTGGGTGAGGATTAAAAATCAAAATAAAATAAAATTGCTCTTTAAAAAGTTTAATTGGTAAACTAGGCACAGCAAGAAATTAATAACAATAGAACCCTTACAATAATAGACTGTAATACAAGTTACGTGAATGTGGTGTCTCTTCCTCTAAAAATTTCTCATTGTGGACTGGACTCACCCTGCTCGTGACGATGCAGCATGATGTGACGCGCTGCCATGACGACATGATGCGCTGCCATGACGACATGACGCGCTGCCATGACGACATGACGCACTGCCATGACGAGATGCGGGGAGTGATGTCGAGCCTTAGGCTACGTCAGACCTCCTGACGACACGTAACCTCTGTGTCACGTCCAAACTGCCAGCAACACTCCTCCTGAGCTCCGGGGCCGTTGTGAAGTAAAATAAAGAGTCCTTGGGCAGAAGTCCTGCGCTCCGGACACGGAAGACCTGGTCACCAGGATGCCTCCCGGCGGCTGCGGGAAGGGCGGGCGCGTGCAGCGACGTCACGGGGTGTAGAAGGGACGATTCACGTTGTGGCCGCAGCCAGTGGGTCTCGCGAGATCTCAGCAAGCTACTCAGGATGGATGGCCCGCAGTTTAAAACAAGAATTGTTTACTTCTGGAATTTTTCATTGACTATTTTTGGAGGTGGTGGGCCATGGGGTCACCAAAACCGTGGAAAGGGGAACTGTGGATAAGGAACTATTTTACTAAATAACGTTTTACTAAATAACTACCGTGAACGAGATGAATTACTGCCCAGCTGGTGTTGCTCAGTGGTTGGGCACTGACCTATGAACCAGGAGGTCACGGTTGGATTCGGGGTCAGGGCACATGCCGGGGTTGCAGGCTCGATCCCCAGCAGGGGGGCATGCAGGAGGCAGGAGGATGATTCTCTCTTATCATTGATATTTCTTTTCTTTTCTTTTTAATATATATATTTTTTATTGATTTCAGAAAGGAAGGCAGGGAGAGAAAGAGAGAAAAACATCAATGATGAGAGAGAATCTTTGATTGGCTGCCTCTTGCACGCCCCCTACTGGGATTGAGCCAGCAACCCAGGCATGTACCCTTGACAGGAATGGAACCCAGGACCCTTCAGTCTGCAGGTGGACGCTCTATCCACTGAGCCAAACCAGCTAGGGCTTATCTCTGATATTTCTACCTCTTCTTTTCCCTTCCTCTCTAAAAGCAATAAAATATATATATTTAAAACCTAAGTAAAAAAAAAAAAAGTGAATTATCTAAATTACCTTCAATATAGAAGTCTCACACATGGGGCATAAGAACTAAGGGTCTGTGCACACATCAGGTGCTTAGTAAGTGCTACTTGGCCTAACATCCTTGCAGCCCGTGTAGTCTACAGCCTGTAATCTCAGGGGCCGACTTCGGCCTGGACAGAGGGCACGGCCTACCCCACTGACAGTTCACCCCTTGCATCCTCCCTCATTCCACCCTGAAGCTTGTTTATCTTTCCAAGAACAGCACTCAGCCTCCCCAACTCACCCACCGCCAGGACCCCATGAATTCCATCATTTTGCCAAGCCTTATTGTTAATTAACTGAACTAGGTAAGCATTAAATTAAACTAGCAGTGCGGACATTTCCCCTCCAGACTGAATAATTACTCATAATGACCTTGGATAATAAGTCTCTACATAAATAACAGCGAGTTAACCATGATTGGGCTAAAAATTGAGAGAGATTGTTTTTACCATGGAAACTGATTCAAGAACAAATTCAAATTATTGGCAGGGAAGAAATTCTCACGTCTGTGTTGTTATAGATTCACACACTCATGGACTAGCAGGACCTCAGAGCTCACCTCGTTTATACTCTGTTTCACAGATATGGCAACCAAGGCTCTGAGAGGGAAAGAAATTCATCTGAGATCACACAGCGAAGAGGGACTCTCTGTGAGTAATGTGCAGTTGGACATCGCTGGCTGATGAAGGCTAGTTTCTGAGTCCAGCTCACGAGGGTAAATGGAGTGAAGTGACAAAAGTGTCCATTTTGCTCACATCGTGGCAGAGAGCGAGTAGAAGGGACGGTGGTTAAGATCTTCGATGATGACATCACATTGCCAGAGTTCGAATCCCTCCTGTGGCACCCAGAAGCTGTGTCACCTTTGGGTAAGTTCATCCATTTCTTAGAGCCTCAATTCCCTCACCCATAAATGGGGATAATAAATGTACTTACCTGATAAAGCGATCATGCTACACTCAGTAACTAGCAAGTAGCTGCTGCCACCACAACCATCATCTCCGTTATCACCACCCTCATTCTCGAGCCGGTGTGATGAAAGGTTTAGGAATGCCTCTTCCATTACTTGTGAGGCACATGGGCAAGCCACTGGGTGGCTCAGAGTCCTATCTTGTCCATGTGTCAAGTGGACTAATCTGACCTTCCCTTGGCTAACAGAGGATTTGCAAGGATAAAGGGCAAAAATCCACGCTAGTGGCTTCCGAAGTTAGAGGAGCGTCATCATTTTGCTGTGCTGTTCCAAGATTTTGTAGTGACTCTCCACTCAGTGCAGGGAGCCTTAACCCAGGCTCTTTATGACCTCCACCCTGACCTTGGGAGCCATCTCTTCCACTCTGCCAGGGCAACCACATTCCTCCTGACATCTAACGGAACAGGGAACTGCCCAAAGCATTTTTATAGATCACCACTAGGTGGCACTCCACCACCCACCTGCTGCCTATGGACACCAAGATGCAAGTGTATTTTGGGGGGGAGTGGGGGTGGAGGTCCGTAAAGGGATCAAGCTGTGAAATCCTAGGTGATTGGGCCTTGGTGCTGGTGTGTATGTGCTATTTGGGGGTAACAAGGCATTGGAGGCCATGTTGCTCGCCTGTCAGGCATATCTAAGTGTGAAACTCTCACTCCTACCACTTGCCCATGGTGAGACCTTGAGCCTCCCTGAACCTCAGTATCCTCGTCTGGAAAATGGTGTAAACTCTAGTTCCCGGTGTTGTGAGGGCAAAATAAGAGTAGGGGAATAAGAGAGCAGGAGGAAAGTGTCATGTACAGGGTCTAGAACATAGTAAGTGCTCAGTAAACAGGCATTACTGGTAAGGGCCCTCCTTTGTTGATTCAATGGGAGGATGGATACATACAGGGTCAGAGCTTTTAGAGCAAACCTGGCTGTGCATGTGTTAAAAAGATAGCCCAACCCCTACCCTAGACCCGCTGAATCAAGCTCTTTAAGGTACAAAGGCCAGGGAGCTATCATTGTGAATTGCTCCTCAACCAGGCGTGACCTTGAGACTGTTCCAGTTTCAACCATTCCATTCTGCAGATGGAAAAACAGACCCAGAAAAGGGAAATGACCTGCCTCCGTCCATACAGCTATGGAGGAGCAGAAGGCCCGACTCCCCACATATACTGCCTGTTGTGTCTCTGGCAAGGTCAGGGGCTTAAAGCAGTTGGGCACAGCTGGCCCAGTAGATGGCTGACCACTCGAGTTCATCTTCCTTCAAAGCTAGAGCTGGGTTGGAAGGAGATGAAGCTCAGAGGCTCACCTGAGCCCCCAAAAGGAGGAGCCCATTTATTCATGT